AGTTTCTTCACCTCAGTCGCACTAGTTTCAATCTTGTCTTCCATTTTTTATCATAATCTGGATTACCCGAAATTATGTGAACGGTGCCTTTAAATGCGACTATAGCATGTTGTAGCACATAGTGTTGGCTAACGTGCATAGAAATTCCATTGTCTTTCGCAGCTGAGAAGTTTGAAATGTATTGCTATAAATCGGCGCCAATAATTTTGGGACACCCTGTATATAGTAAGGATCTTTTCAACTTCAATTTTGCTGATGATTCTTATGCCACGCCATATGTGTTCATCGTCCCGTCGGATTTTTTTTTCAAAAATTTTGGCATAAAAACACCATTTGATTATATTGCAGCACGGTCAACAACTAACAACTATATTCATCATGGCAGCATGGTGTGCAGAAAATCTACGCGATCTCGAGGTACTATTTCGATATCTTAAACTAATTTTTTAATTTTATTTTTTCTCCTCTAATCGGGGCAGACAATCTTGACCCCTCATCGGTCCCTGTCCACCGAACGAACAGCTTTCATACAGACCTCCTTTGCTTTTTCTTGAATTATCATATATTGGCAAGTAGCACTGTGCCTTCGTCTAGAAGTATTTTTATTATTTGTTTATTTTGCCAAGTGAACAGGAATAATTTCGATAGTGAAAGTGATGTAGTAGCAAGTGGCGCGCTCTCACACACAGGGTCATGGGTTCGAATCCCGGATCGATATTCGCTTAGGCTAACCAAGCCTTCCATTCGTCCGGGGTCGGTTAACTGGTACCAGGCCCGTCAAGGAGGATAAAAGCCCTGACTCGTACATCAGCTTGTCACCGCGAGTCATTGTATATGGTTACACTTCTTTTTCTGTATATGGGCGAGCTTCAGAAGTATGGAGTACAATATTTGGGTTTTGATTAATTCAATGGGATCGATTTTAATTCTCATCTTTTTATAGAGCTTAAAATCAAATCTGTCCACCGAATTTTCTGCTCATAATTCTTCTTTTGAGGGTTGGAAGGCTTCCGGTCTGACTCTGTCAACACCATCAAATGAATGTGCTAAATTGTTTGACGGTGCACTCCGACAAATTGTCTCTTGGTCGGATTGTGAGATTCTTGGAGGCTTCATCAAGACACTAGAGGATATGAAAGCTGCTGATCCAAAAGCAGGTACTGTACTGGTTCCTGAACAAAAGTTGTTATGAACTATTAAATGGTCTATGGGAAACAGTTGATCACCTCTGCAGTGGGGTTGCTGCTGCCGGTTCATAATTTCTGTTTGGGTTTTGGGTTACATCATCATAGTAAAGGCCTCTTATTTTTTAAAAAGGTCAATAACATTAAAACTCATTAAAAAATAAAAAACTAAATTGGTGGTTCGTTTCCTATGTTTTCCTCGCCCTGCCACTCATGAAGCCTTTGGGAAGTTGTGAAGCCTCATGAAACAAACAAATAAATATATCTTCAGTAGCTTAAGGCCCAAGTATTCAGTCGCATACCTCTTCCACGTGATAAATCTTCACCCGTGCTCCTGCCACGAAACATTCTCACCCTTCTCTCTATGACTACGCTCCCCTACTTAACGTGCCCATAAATCTCCAGGTAGCCCGAGCATGACTGGTCCCCTTCGTAAATGGGTTTAGTACTTCTCTAAAAAGGATTGAATCCGTGAAATAGCTGCACCATTCAGTACCAACTGACTTTCAGTACTTCCCCGAGCGTTTCGACTTGGACTGGAAGGCCTTGGCACTGGTACGTGCAGTCGAGTCAATGAAACCTACAGGAACAACCTCGATCAGGTCTACACCGACGCTCAAGCCTACGGTAATCCAAGGGAGTTGGAACATGCTAAAGCAGTACGACTGTGGGGCCAGGGGTGAGTAAGATCAAGATATATTTACATTTGTGTATCTTTTTGTCAATTTTCCTAGTTATTCCTTCGGAACTGTTCAGGAAGATGAGGGAAGCTACGAATATCTGGGAAGGAATACTTGCTGAATATCCTACGGATTTAATGGCCATCAAATTTGCCCATGACGCCTATTTCTTCATGGGCGATGGGAAAGGAAAACGTGATTCGGTCAAAGCCGTTATACCGAAACAGAAAGGAACTGAACCATGCTATAGGTAGGTCTATCCGACTATGAGGCTGGCGAAACTTTCGGATGATAACTTGGTTAGTAGCCTAGCCCTGGAGAAAGCTATTCAGAATGCTATGGCAATGCAATATGGTCGATCCCCTCCCTTTAGAACTCCAGTAGATATACTTCACCGAGGATCTAAACGCAACTTGAAACCTGTAATCAGGATTGCTATGCAGTAAATTTTCTCCGGAAAGAATCTAAAAATCAGTTGATCCCAGAGCAGCGAATGGCCGCCGTCTGGGGAGGGTTGGGCTGCCTCGACGGCTATCGTCAGTCCATTCGGCAACATTATTGCCTAGCGGTGCCATATTTATATGTGAGGAGTAGAAGAGGAGAGTTGAGAGGCTACAGCGGTCGTTCGACCGTCAGCTTCTAAAATGCGCGGCGATTCCAGCTCTGAGTTTCTCTGCCTGCCTTCTATTACAAAGTTCGCTTTATTAGTTGTCTTGCCGCGCAGCATGCCGTCAGAAGTCATGGTCGATCACTCTGTATAAAGTACCACTGTCTGGTGCTAAGCCTAGACCTAAGCTTACAACTACCACCAGCATGATTTTCCAGTTTTTATCTTAACAGTGAGAGAACGTCCATTACAGCTTAAATGTTTTTCAACTAATTTTTTATGGAAACACATGGTGCCCAAAAAATGAGTTTTGAGTGATACGAAGCTTTTGGAGAAAAATGCGATGTTAGTTAAAACCTTGACCGTGGTCTGATCAGCGTCCTGTGTAACAAGGCCATTATTTTTGGTACCTGATGGAGTGGCCAATTCATATAGTTCAGCTACCTTCATGGAATGTTGGCATTTGGATTCGAAGAATGCGAACAGTATGCAGAAGCTGAAAAGGAAGCCGTGAAGGTAGTTTTTCAGTCCTTCAAAAACATTAATATGCTCAATGTCTCTGAAAAATCGGATGATTTGACTGTCTGGCGTACATCACTAATTTGTTGAATACAAATCACTTTCACTTCCTGCTTAGTGATCTGGCTATTCAACTTATTGAGTTATTGACTTATTGTTGAAGAAAAAAAAATTCCCAGGTCCTTCTCCGTGGCCACCGAGGTCGATTTGCAGGGAAATAGGCGCCTTTCCTTGCTCTGTTAAAGACGCAGAGCACGTTGGAGTAGCCATGTACAGCTAGATCTTACCTCTTCAGACAGTACTTGTTATGTATGGTAGATCATTGCATCTCTATTTCCGTCAAACTTCCTTCAATCGATGTGTGGTGGCGTAGTGACGTCTGGACAC